GGGAGCCATGGCCCCGCCCCCCCCCCTCGGACCGCCCACACCTCGCTGCCTAGCAACCGCAGCTGCCTCCGCCGCGCGGCCCTCCGAATGCCGAGGAGCACCTGAGGCTTGAAAGACGCGCGAGTTGCTGGGGCGCGCGGCGGAGGGAGGGCCGTTTGCTTTCGAAGCGCCAGTTCAGCGGCTCCAGCGAGGCCGCCCCGGAGTCGCTCAAGCCGCGCGCGCTGCAGTAACGATCCAATCCTGAGCCGGGATAACGGGTGGCGCTTTTGGCGGCCGTTCTCGGCTCAGGAGCCCTAGCGCAGCAGCCCAGCCCTTTCGCACCTCGCCTGCCGGCTCCTGGGTGCTGGCTCCCCTTAGCCCAAGTTACGGTCGGGCTCTGAAACGATTAAATGGGGCGCCTCGCTTCTCCGTTGGTGTTTCCCTTCACCTGGGACTAACTCTTCTAAGTAATCCCACTGGGGCTTAGGAGGGGGGGAGAATTGGAAAGGCCTTTCTGAGCCATTCAGTGCGCTTAAACCATCGACCGTAAAAACTGAAAGAAAAAGGGGGACTGTGGCTGGTGTGGGTCTTCCGGGCTGGGCGAAACGTTAGGAAACAAGACTTCAAGACCACGGCCACACAGCCCGGAAGACCCACACCAGCCATCGTATGCCGGCCGTGAAAGCCTTCGACAATACATTAAAAAGGGGGACTGATTTTACAAGTATCCTTCAGGGTGGGTTTTTCTTTATTTCGTGTAAGCGAGGGGGCATAAAGCGCGCGCGTGCTGGTTTATATCCTTTCCAGCTGCTCGCCGCTTCTTGGGTTTCCCTTCTGCCTCCAGAAGCTTCGCTTTTCTTTCCAGCCATTAGAGGGCGCTTTCAATAGTGACCGGAGGGCTCCAGAAGACCCTGTCGCCTAGCAACCGCCATCATATCCTAAACAAAACTGACAGGCGGCGAGAGAACCCGGGATCCGCATTGACCGCTTTGGCAGCTGGCAGCCCTCCTGCTGCGAAAGGCTGGAGCATGTCACCCGCTAGGAACCCCTTTCCATTCCCTCATTACGAAAATGAAAATACCTACAATGGCAAGAATAGGAGTGCCCAGGTAAGAGAGATTCCTTCTATTCTTTCTTTAAAAGAAAGATAACATTTATTATATAGACACATGCATTTGTACTGTGATGCATTTAATTTTCCTAATGAAATGTAGAGGCGATTGATTCAACAATAGTACAGCCTCCGCTTCCCTTTAGCATCTTAACAGTATTTTAATTTATAGATTATACTGGAAACTACTTTTGAACCTGAGACACACATTTTATAATGCTTATTAATACAGGATAAAATGTGGAGAGGTCTGGCTTAAAAAAAAAACCCTGTATATATTTGGTATCTGTAAAATGCACAGGTAGGAAATTTGTCCTATTTTTCTTGCTTTTCAGACAACTGAAAACTGTCACTTTGTGTGAGATGGGTGGCCATATAAATTTGATAAATTTTATTTATTTATATTTCAATTAAATGACTCATATTAATTAAAGAGAGAGAAACAAGCCTTTCACCCAGAGTTATAAATCAAGATGCAAAAAAAAAAAAAAAGACTTGGAGGCAAAAGATAAAGACAGGAGATCATTTGCCAAAATTAAGTGATCTTCTCTTGCTGTAATGTTCTTTACAAAAATGTATTAAAAAGCACAATGCAATTATTATAGTTATGTTTATATTTCACTGGGGTAATGGGAACTTCCTTAAAGAGGGGACTGGAAAAAAAGGAAAAGATAAGAAAATATTGAGCTATTGAAAGGCACAATAATAGAACCTCTGTTAGAATGTATGCCAAAGAGCTGAGGAGTCAGATGTTCATAGTAAAATTTGAGTCAAGCCAAGCAACCAGTTTTGTCCAAGTCAAGCAATCAATTTTGAGACCTTTTACTAAGCTGCTGATCCAACATCAGTCTTCCCCAATGTGATGCCCTCCAGAGGTATTAGACTGCAAGTCCCAGACTTCTCTGCCAACAGAATGGTGAGAAGTTTATGAATTCTAATCCAACTCCTCTGGAGAGTAACAGGTTGAGGAAGACTGCCCAAAATAAGATGAGAATCCCTTGCAACCTGCTATCTGAAAAACACAAGGGAATTATATAGAATGTTCTATATAACATTCTAGATTTCCCTTTAAAGCAAGAATGATTTGATATTGTCCGTTTGCTGAAATCTGTTGCTATATTGGCTTTTTTTTTCCTGAGTGGAAGAACCTGTGAACTCTCTCTCTGTGGTTGTCTAGACTAATCCTGTATTTTAAAAATACATGAGAGTCAACAGGACTGAAATAGTCAGGAAAAAGGCCAAAATATTTACCTGCATGTGCTCATTCCTTAGATTCCAACTTCAGTAATGACAGACAGTATTGGAAGGGTTAGTCTAAATCATAAGCAGTTCAGTTTCATCTCTTTATCATCAAGTCAGTACAATATGTTTCATATGATTCTTAATGATCCAGAAAATCCCCTATGGCATGCCCACCCATCTTTCCCAGCAACAAGACCCCTGGAATCGGCTACATGGAACACCAACTTTAGCAAGCATCAGAAGAGAAGTCTGGTACTCAGAACCTGAGGTAAAAAAATATATATATATTGCTGTGATATTGTTGTCTTTGGTTTTTTTTAAGATGCCTTCTTCTCTCTTTAGCTCTTTATTATCCCTTCCTTTAAAATGCCTCACAAACATATACATACTAAACAGGCTTGGAGGACCTCAAAGGGACACTTCACTTTGATAAAATGTTCACGTGGAATGAAAATTTATTTGAACATTATCCCATTGGGGTTTGTTCAGAGAGCCAGTGTGTGTCTTTTGAAATCTTGGCAAGTTCTTGGGTCAATTTTTATTAAACAAAGGCATGCTTTCATAGCTTTGAAGGCTGCTAGATGCATTAATAGGGAAGCTGTAAATTTTGATCTGGATTCACATGAGAAACAGTTGTTATGGAGTAATCTTAATTCAAAAATGGGGAAAATGTTTTATTAGAAGTTCTGAGCTGTGTAAGGGATTAACACCTTGAATCAGTTAATTACTAATGGGTACTTTAAGGATTTTCAGAGTTACATTTTGAATATAATTTACTTGAATCAGTTGTTTGTCAGTATAACTAATTTAAATATGGATGATTAGAACAACATGGTCTGGATGCTTTAGCAGTTTCAGAGACAGCAGAAATACTTAAATGTTCAATAGAAGTTGTATTTGAAATAAAACCAACAATTCAATTCTATACAAAATTAAAGATAGGATGGTTTATGTTGGCAATATACATACCTTATTTGTGGGATAAGGAACTGGAATATCCATTCTTGGAAAATCAATGGGCCCAAGTTTTAAGAAATGTTAAATACACTTATGACATAGGGATGAAGTTAATTCATCAGAAATTCTTGGTTCATGTTTATTGGACTTTCCAAATACTGTCTTTTTAAAAACATTTCTGTCACGGCATTTCTTGTAATGGCATTGTTAGAAAATTCAGGGCTCTTTCATTCATATGATTTAGTTGCATTCTTTCATGGTTCCATTTGGTTTCAAATCAATATAATTTTAGAGAAAAATATAGTTAGATGTAAATGCAATGTTAAACTACATTCCAAAATTACAGAATTTTACATTGTATTAAGAACTCCAGCTCGGGATCAGTTAAGAGAATCACCCTATGCAGAGGAAAACAGCACTCCACATGTCAAAGAGTGAATTCTAGAGATGTGTTTTTTTTATTTTTGAAATGTCTTTGTAGAAAGGAGAAGATGTAGTATATTTCTATATGGTCTAGATTTATATGACCAATCTAGATAGATATTACTATTACATAGATTTTTTTTTCTTGGTTTTATTCATTTTTATTATTTTATATAGTTTTAATTCTATAAACATTTCTATTGTTTAATTTCACTAATAAAAGGAGCCACAGTAGAATGAAGCAACCTATATTGATATTTAAATTGGATGTGTCAAGACACACCACCTTGCTTTTCTGTATTGTGGTACAGTTGCATTCCACTGATGTGGTAGATATATAAAATGGTGCCACTTTGCACAACCTTAATACTGAGAACATGCCATTTATTGCAAGACTCTTACAGTCAGGACCAGAAATACTGGAACATGGATAACTCTTTTGACATTTGGCCTCTGTACACCACCACATTGAAGTTGAAAGGAAACACACCCAGATGGGAGTGA